TGTAAAAATGCAGGGTTCCATATAATTGCTTCATGTTGTCCCAACACACATCAATTAAGTGAACTTCTTTGTTTCTAGAAATTTAAGTAGATTGAGAATTGAGTAAAAACATCAGAAAGTGTTGATTCAGCCTATTTTAAATAAGTAGTCTGAACAATCATTCTTGGAGTGTAAAATAAAGTAAGCCCAATTGAAGCTGTGCTTGAAAAAGAAATCAGTGTGTTTGAGGCAGTCCTGGTCCGCTGCCCAGAGAGCACAGGTTGGAGGAGATCTCACGTTTCTCGTCCCTGACTGAACAGAGCCTGGCGTATCACTGCACTCACCCATGACCATCCGTCCTTCCTTTCCTTCTCCTTTAGCTCCGGTATCCCTCCATCAATCCCAGAGAAACACTTCACGCTTTGGAGAATCAATGCTCCGTTGACTGTGTATTAATTGTACGAGACCTCTTTCGACACCCTCGTCGATTGCTTTTACCGTCCGCTCGGACTTTGTCGATTAATAACGGCGCACATAAAAACGAAAGCGTAAACCTCTGAACACTTGGACGCTTCCCAAGCGGGACCCAATGTTTTTTTCTTTCCCTTGTGTTCTGATACTGCATGTCTGACGCTTTTACACTGCTATGTCAATATTCGCACGGCTATCTCCCAGATCAGCCCGCCAGTGGGTAAAATATACACCGCTGTTTCTGTCAGCTATTGACAGGCCGAGGCCTTCAAGGCTCGCGCTATTTTTATTGCCAGTGCCAATATGGGGAAAATGCCGAACAGATGGCGGAGGTTGCGGTGGATATCAAAATGTTTACGGCTGGAAGTAAACACGGGCCTGGTTTGAAACAGAGAAGTCGGATTCGCCAGATAGGGCCCCGCCACTCTGCTTTGGGATAAAATATACAGTTGTCAGAAAATATGAACTAATGAAGAAGGGGGTGGATTGGGGGAAGAGCGGAGTGACTGGTCAGTTATCAGCTGCATTAATCTCCTCTCGGGCCGGTGTGGAACAGACAAAATACAGAGAAAATACCTGACAGACTGTGGCTCGCTGGCCTGAAGGCGCTGACGGCTAGACTCTTATCTGAAAACCAGTCGGGGAGAGAGATTTAAAGAGGGGACTGGCTGATTCGGTTCTTCTCCATTTCGTCTAATTGAGTTGCTTGCACTGTAAAAAAAGAAATGTGTGACTAAAAGTCAAGACAGCAAATATTTTTATGTTGCTTTAACTTATTTTATTACAACCCCAAATCAGAAAAAGTTGAGATCGTATGGACGGTATTACTGTTCCAACTGTTTTCAAAATGTGTTGCAAAAAAGGAAAATGAAATGCGCATTTATTTTGGAAAATCACAACCAGTGCTTAACTTGTAAATGGATAATTTCCCGATCAAAACCAGGAAATAGGAGGTACGGTGACCGATGTCCGCTACACAATTTAAATTTTCCTGGAATATAACATTACTAAGCAGCAGAGAAGGGGGACTTGAGTCACATGACTTTACTCGAGTCAGACTAAAAAACAAGTTAAACTCTGCGGACCCGGTACCGGGTGTGTGACGTCATCGGCTTTCGCTTTAAGATTTAAAGGGCTAGCATTGCACCAGACCCCCTTAAGTGGTTTCGTTTGAAAGTGTAGAATCTATATTTTATGCACATATGCATCACTTTGGTTTTTATTCTACTGTACACAAGTTATTTACACTTAAATACACAGTATTTTGGAGACCCGAGCTAGGTATTTTACATTGGTTTATTTTCATATTTTTTTATAGGACACATGTACAAGTTATAGCTCAAATGAAAGCTCTTACCGGTGCTCATACGGCTCTAGCATTCTTTTTACTGAATTATATTCACATATCAAACAGTTGTTGAATGAATCACGGTGTTTCCATGGCGCAGAAGTGAAAACAATACATTTATGATCAATAAGCAGCCCCAGATAGCACAGACAGCTGTCATCTCTTACCTTATGCTGTGCGCTTCAGGGCCATTTCTCCTCTGTTTTTTAAGTGATGTGCATAAGTAATCCTTTTATATGTCTGACGTGGTCCAAATACAGTGAATTATGTTTGATCAAACAAAAGAATAGTGTAATATGAAAACAATGATCGGTCCATGTGGCTTGTATAGCACCTCTCATCAGCTGGAATACAATAACTTTTGCATAGATTATGGTAGAGACATTTTTCTTTTTTCCTATGTTTACAGACATGTGCAGGAACCACCAAAATTAATTACAGCACACTAGACCACACAGAACCTAAAAGGTACACTTTCAATTCTGAGTTTATAAAAAAAATACAAAAAGCGCCTCTTTTTTTTTAACACAGACAACATATACAGATATTTTAAACACATTCAATAGTGTTTTATGAAAACTCAAAGGTTTTTTTTTTTAATTATACCAAATTTTTGCATTCACACCTCTGAATGTGGATTTAGGAAGCTTTTAATATTGGGTAGGCAAAATCCAGGCAGAAATCCCAAAATAGCACTGAGGTTTAAGAGGTTAAGTTGCAAAATTTAGAACTTGAGACTTGCTTGACAAATATCTAAAAAAAAAAACTCTACTTGACTTGGACTTGACTGTCATGACTTGGGACTTGACTTGGACTTGAGATAAATGACTTGAAACAACTTGTTTTTAGTAAATAACCGTTTGTTATATTTTTTGCAGTACAATACAAAACTGAAAGGTAAATATGTAAATATAAATTGCACAAGAAATTGCAAAAGTTTAAAAATCGACAAAAATTTGATTGACTTGAAAGTGACTTGCTAGACCAAGCTACAACTTGACTTGATTTGACTTGAAATAAGCAGTGACTCGACTTGACTTGAGTTCAACAAAAATTGACTTGGCTTGCTTGAGACTTGAAGGTTATGACTCGAGACTTGCTTGTTTCTTGCACATATGTGACTTACTCCCACCTCGGCTAAGCAGTTAAAGCGGGAAAAAGCATCAAATTTTTGAACTTGTGGCTACGAACCATTGACTATCCTTATTCTATATCAGGGGTGGCCAACCCTGTTCCTGGAGAGCCACCTTCCTGCAGATTTCAGTTGCTACCCATATCAAACACACCTGAACCAATTAATTAGGACCTGAACACCACGTGATAAATACAGGCAGGTGTGTTTGATATGGGTTGCAACTGAAATCTGCAGGAAGGTGGCTCTCCAGGAACAGGGTTGGCCACCCCTGTTCTATATACAGTATATGGTTTCTATGTACCACTTTTACAGACAATGTTTTCATATTTGACATTACTATATGTAAGAAAGCTCAATCCCATCAGGCCAACGTCAGGCCTAGATTCACATTGACCGAAGGTTCCTTCCAAGATGTTTGACTAATGAAAACTCCACTGTGATGTGGAGGAGAACCTGTGGCCAAATCCACAAGACCAAACCAATGGAAACACAGATCTCAAAATAAAAATCTGATATATGGAAATATATGCAAATTACATGACACCCTAGTGTATATGTATGTCATACATGTCAAAATGTCACCATTTTTTACAAATACTTGAATTAAAAACGTACATGTGTCACGTAAATATATTACCTAGTGCAGTATGTTATATATTTTACCTCTACAAATGTTACCTATAATTTGTATATGTGTCCATATGGCTGTATATGAACACACACACACACACACACACACACACAAACACACTCACACACACATGATGTATGATATATGAATGATATGGTGGTAACACTTTAGTTCAGGTCAGAATTCACTGGCTTATTAGCTGCCTATTATTAAGACATTAATTTTTAATTAGTAGTAATAAAGTATGATCTTATTTTACATTCTTAATCCCGCCTAATACCTAAACCCAACCACTACCTTACTCACTATAAATAAACAGATAATTAGTAGTTTTTTGAGTGACTGTTGTTAGTGACTTGTTGTTGGTTTGTTAATATACCATGATTTGTTACCTGAAGTGTTACTGATAGGGTTGAAAAAATGTAAACAGTGTTTTTTTGCACTATTTTGGCATCTATTAAATCTATCATGATGTTTTATGTATGTGAAATCTAATTGTAATTTGCATATGTTGCTACATACTTGGCGCAACCAATCTCGGTCCTGGAGGTTCGATGTCCCTGCAGGGTTTAGCTCCAACTTGCCTTAACACACGTGCCTGGGTGATTCAAGTATACCTAGTAAGACCTTTATTAGCTTGTTCAGGTGTGTTTGATTAGGGTTGGATCTAAAATCTGCAGGACACCGGCCCTCCAGGACCGAGTTTGCCCACCCCGGCCTGATCTACACTGATGTATAAACCATAATGAAACCTGTATCTTATATTTAATGCTTGTTAAAGAGTGTTTAATGCACTGATGTGTATGTTGTGCTTTGATTTATATGATGAAAGGATTATGTGAATCAATGATCCTGCAAATGCAAGACATTTTTAACAATTTGTTTAAAACATTTATTTAAATAGAGCTTTTATTATTTTATAAAAGTGAATGTGTAGAGGACAGAACCCTGTGGCATACATTAGGCAATCTGCACTGCTTGTGTCCATTAAATAGTAGTGTTATGTTCTTTATTTGTTACATACCAGTACTTAAACCATTGTTTGTGACGTAACTATTATGTTAAAAATATGTATTACAAGAGTACTTCTTTATTATAAGTGCACAATCCCTCATTAGATCACATCTCATGTTTTCTTGTCAGCATTGCGTAAGGAGCGGTCCCTGAGAGAAACTCCCTTGAGCGTAGTGTTGAAGTGTTGTCATGCTTCTTGGATTGCGTGTGATGTTCACACTCTGAGCTTTAAGTGTCAGTTTCCTCAGATAACCTTACTGTATTACCGCGGCTCATCTGATTGGCCACTGCGAGTTGCAGTAATCCTGAAATGTTTATATGGGGTCTTGCTTTGTGTCCCGATCATTTAGACGGAAAGCTCAAAACAGGAGAAGCCGTCGTCTTTTGAAAAGTAATCCTCCCCTCTCTCTTTTTGTGTTCAGGTCGCTGTGCGCTGCCGTGAACACGTATTACCTGTCCTGCACACACTGCCACAACAACTGTGCCTATGTTCTCTACAGCAACAAAATTACCTTTCTCATGGACCTTCTTCTACATCAGTTAACAGTGAGTATTAATGGCTCAAGCCTACTCGAGTCAGTCCAATCCTGCTTGCTTTTGGGGTTTGTATGTGTCGTGAATTCACATTTTTCTCACTCTACGCCATTGTCATGTCAAATAAAAGTTCACACAACACTATACCTATTGTTTTATCATGCTCATATCTAGGGTTGCTCATAATAACCGATTAATTTAACTGAAAGGAGGCGTTTTAACTGATTAATGGTATCAGTTAAACAGTTAAAAATTAACATTTTTATTTTTTTTATTAAGTTTGGCTAAATATTTGTGACTCGCTGGACGGTAACACGTGCAACCACACTTGCCTACAGACATATTTTGTTAAAGAAGCAAAATGAAAGAAGGATATTGCTGGTCACAGTGTGACGCAGATGAGTTGATGCCAAACCAGTGCTGATGCTGATTGCCTCTGTCATGAATCCGCGCCATAAACACCTCCGTTTATAATGATAACTCTGCACCAAACTTTTATTTTGCAGCTTATAAAACATGTATGCAAACGAATGCAATTTTATATATAATCAACAAAATTTTTATATGCTATAGTAGGCTGTACTTTACAAAAAGTCAACATATGAACCTTGTCGTTGTCTTTCATCATGCGCAGAGTGCGTACATAAACCGCGAGAAAATGAAAGCACACAAGCTCTAAGGTAAAACCAGACGATCAAGACATAATCTTTAAAATAATGACTTCTAATAAAATGTTGACAGAGGTTTATGATATAGAAGTTACAGCAGAGCATTAATTATATACATATTTTCTGTGAAGCGATTGATTTGAGGTAGCCTGCTAATATTTGACGGAGAAAAAAAACGATTGGAAAAAACAGCCTATGCCAGTTTTAAAGGATTCAGTCAGGGTTTTCATTTTGTAATCTAAATTTGTCATGTACGTGAAAATATCTAGGGTAGGACTATTTATTTTATTATTTTTATTTATTGTACTATTTTTTCTAGCTTGTTAAAGCTGCAGGTGTGTGAAGATGCTCTGTTATTGTTCTGTTGTTAAAATATTGGCATGTTAAAATAAATCAGTATTTTAAAATGCAATATGTAATGTGTCCCACAAAATAGACACATAATTGTTTTTTATTAAATATTAATTAATTATTATTCTGACCAGTTAACGGTTAATATTTGGTTAACGAGCGGCGGTTGTCGGTTAGCAAAATGAACCGAAATGAGCATCCCTAGCCATATAGTTCCAAACACAAATGACTGACTGTATGGATCCCAAAAAGTGAAGGAAGACCAGGCATTTATATTATTACGCACTACTGGTCCAAAGTTTGGGGTCGTTTTTTTTTTTTTTTTTCATGTTTAGCAGAGCAAGGAAATTTTCACAGTATTTCTAATAATATTTTTTTCTTCTGGAGAAAGTCTTATTTGTTTTATTTCGGCTTGAATTAGAGCAGGTTTACATTTTTTTAAAACAATTTTAAGGTAAAAATTATTAGCCCCTTTAAGCTATATATTTTTCCGATCGTCTACAGAACAAACCATCATTATACAATATGTATATATATATATATATATATATATATATATATATATATATATAGACGTACACATATACTCCAGGGTCACTACATGCCTTTTAAATGTTTTTTATGTTAATTTTGGATGTAAACAAGGCAAAAGTGTAAACATTTGTTTTCAAAATGTGTTTAAAACGCTACAAAAGACTCTTCACTTATCAACCCAAACATTAGAGGATGGTTTGGTTTTAAAGTAAATGCACCAGTTTTTAATTCTAACCAAAACCCTCACTGTCTGGTCTAGTTTTAGTTATCTGAGTGAAAATAAGAGCTGCTGTACTGTTATTAAATTATTTTTATCAGCAGCTTTCAATTTTCTCATGTCATTTGTGTGATTAGCAATTTGCATATTTTAGATTTTTTTTTAAATCTC